CCCATCCGCTAACATGGAGGAGGCAGGATTTGACCTATACTGCAACTAGCCACCAGGGGGTGATTGAGTCACGGTTGCTTCACTTCTGGGAGCAGTCAGTCTGTCGGTTTTATAGGCAATGGTATAATATGCCCAGATATAATGAAAAATGAAGGTTAAAAAGAATTTTAATTAAATGTATACATATTCAAGAAAAACCTGATTGGGATGCACCTAGACAATACTGTTATGTTCAGACTTTTCCTTTCGCTTCTTACAAAATAGAACCTCCTTTTTTGCCTGACATTGTATTAAAAATGCTCTTGCAGAGAAGCTGAAGCCAAACTCACATTTTCAAGGACAAACCAGAAGTGGCTGCTCAAGATCCAGGCCAGACAAGCAGCTAAAGTGAGGGAACCTAGCTGGAGCCTGAAATAGGACAGAGCCACTGAGACTCACCAAGCCTAATTTATCACAGTGCACACAACTCAGCACAGAGCAGAGAACAGAAGAGGAAAAATATTACAGAGAAGTCTCCCTGCATCCACCCCCGAGCCTCCACAAATAGACAGAAAAGGTCTGTTTGTTGTTTAAAAAAAAAAAAGTAATAACAATTTAGACAGATGGAAGGAAGGAAGCATGGAGAGGTGTGGTGGTCAAAACTGGTACATGAGTGTTGTAGCAACAGATAGAGAAACTTAAAAAAAAAACACTAAAGTGTAATAAGACTGATTAATATTCAGAAAGTACAAAAACAATTAATGAATGGCTATGGAACTGACTCAATCAGGGTTTGAATAGAAGTGATGAAGCCTTTTCTGCTTTATAAGTCCTTAGCTCCTGCTGCTACATGATGACAAAACGTGTGCACTCAGGCACACAGCCTTCACTGGACACAGGGAAGCAGCTGACTGCTGTTTGCTCCTTCAGCTCCCTCACTTGGTCGTCTCACTCCTTCACTTTGTCTCTCTCTTCCTGTGTTGCAATGTGATGTCACCATCAGGGAGCTAATGTTGCGTATCCTTAGGGTGCTGCATTCCTCATTTACCGACTCACATACGCAGCACAAATGAAAGCCAAAGCTGACACACATGTATGCAGTCTGAATGGAGTCACCACCCCCAACATCACCACAGTTTCTCTCACCCACCGTACCTCTATGTTATGCGAAGGCTGCGTAGGGATAGCAGCATTTTAATGAAACCCAATCTGAATTGCCTCAGTTCTACCTAGCATTTAGTTTAGAGCTGAAACAATGAGTCAATTATAAACGATTAGTCAATAGAGTAAAAACTAATTAAATATTTTGAAAATTGTTTGTCAATTTTCAAGCAAAACCAGTAATTAAATTCCAAAATACCCTGATTCCAGCCTCTCAATGAGAGGATTCCCTGCTTTTCTTAGCTGTATATCTAGTGCTGCCACAAACATGGTCATTATCAATTCATTTGATGAGTTTTTTTCCAATTAATCAATTGTTTCTTTTATTAAATGAAAAACCGATAAGTTGAAACATTTTAGCTTGGAAAAAAGATTATAAACATAGTTGCTGATTCATTTTCTGTCAATCAACTATCAATTAATTAACCTCTGCAGCTCTACATGAATCAAAGTTGAATCTGGAGATTCTTAAACTGATCTAAGGTAATGAGTTTGATCATAAGTCTAGAGAAGAGTTGACACTGTGGGTCCCTGTTGAAGCTACAACAACACACAGTCCACTTGCAGTTGCACAGTGGTGTCAGACTGTGAGGAAATGGTCGACAACACATTTGTTAGTGTCTCAGCTTAACGAATCAGAGAATTTGGCCGACTGGGAACTGGCGCCAAAATGGAACCAGCTATCAGATCTCAGGGTTTTGCTGCTCATGTAACAGAGGAGAAATACTCAGCTTAGTAAATTGTCCTTTTAGGGACTTCCTGAAACTACAAGCACTGAGATCCAAACAGGAAATTCTCCCAGAGATCACTCCCCCTCCAGAGGATTTGCTTGTCTCCAGACTAATCTAAGCTAGGATACTGCAGAGCATTGTGTCTGAACACTGTGGCTGATTAGCACCTATAGCTTAAACCAGCAGCTTTCCAAAGAATGCGACTAGCAAAGGATAGAAAACCTAAGTAATCCCCATGCAAGACCTCCTTTGCTTTTAAGTGTGTATAATATATATGCACTCTCTATGTTCATCATATCTGAAACTCAGGAACATATAAGAGGCAAAACACTCATAGCAGATCAGTGGAAGAGTTTGTACTAAGTGGAATGAAACAAGCCACAGCATCAGAGTGACATCACCTCTGGTGATCCTGGCAGATATGAAGCATTTTCTAGGAAGGTCTTTATGCCGACCTGCTGAGCTATTCAGCTGTCTCCAGAGATGACCTCAATACAGCAAGAAGAAAAGAATCAGAGCTCATATGCAAGACACAAAAGCATTACCGTCACAATATCCATACTGCCCATATGAGATACCAGGTCCTGCTATTTTAAAGTTTTTGGTTATTTGAGTTATTGATAATTGTCAAATTTTCAATTCCAAATTTTCACTTTGTGTTACTATTCACTAAAGCTAAAGCCACTTGTCCATGAGGGAATTTCATACTATGAAGAGACTGCAAAACATTAGCTGATTGACTGTTTAGTCACCCTTACTCAGTAATTCAACTTCAACACTTTTTGCCTACAATGTCCGGATTTGCTGTTCTTCTTTGGCTTATATCATTGTAAATTATGTGAGTTTTACACGGTTGATTGGAGAAAATAAAAACATATGAAGATGTTACATTTGACTCTAAAGAACTGTGATTTTTTTTTTTTACGTCACTGAATAATTGTAAGATTATTAAATAAATGTACAGCCAGTTCCTAGCTGAAGCCCTACTGTGACCCAGTTGCTAAATAATACTTATACTGCTAAAGGTTTTGTGCATATTGTTTGTTCAAGTTGCCCCACACTATTGTGACATTACTCACAGAGAGATATTTTGTGTTTGGGCTTTACTGCTTATGCACTAGAGACGTGCTCAGGATACCAAAACATTTAGGTTGGTCTCACATTAGGGCCCCGGGCCCATATCAGAGTACAGTTGATCCGAAAGTCTGGTTCTTTTTGATCAGTGTGAACACAAGCATACTGGACTTGGGCATCAAGCCCGAGTCTGCTTTAAGACGTGGTCTTGAGAACGATTTATGTCTACTCAAGTACGACCCACAGGAGATGTGAACGCAACCATGCTTAAACAAGGAAGTGGGCTGCTATGTGATGCCATAACTATTCGACTCCGCCGGTTAAGAGGATAACACACATGGCTGGATCTCTGTGGAGTAACGAAGAAGTAAAATGCCTGCTTGAAATTAAGGCTGATGAAAACATACAAAGGCAATTGGACACTACACACAAAAACTCCTGAGATTTATGGGAAGATTTGTCAGTATTTACATGCGCATGGAACAGAAACACATGTTGCCCAGTTGATGACAGGAGTGGTTGCATCTTCTTGGTGAACTGCAAACCAACTACGTGCGTACTGCCACCTACTGTATCGGACTGTGTACATCTGCAGGTGTGCTAGGACATGGAACGATGTTACTAATATGAAAGCAGAGGGGAGCAATCAGGTATGAAATAATCGTACCTAATGTGAAAACACCCTTACTCAGTATTTGGATCCGATACGCAATTTCATGATTTCTCTAATTACAGGGTTGCAAGGATTCTTCTGTGTGTGGACTTGTTTCTTTTCTGCATGGAGATATATCCAGCCACCGCCTACACTATTGTATTTGCAAATAATACCCCTAATACTAGTGCTATTTTAACCCGGACACAACCCATTTCAGAGTGAGCATCCCTGGATAACATCACTGGGTACAGTGACAGTCAAAACCATTCTATGATCACACCTACAGACATTACTTCTTTTATTTTTGAACTGGGCCTAGATTGGGGATTTCCACATCACTTCCCTGCACTGCACTGGCACCGACTTGTGTTGTGTACTACCAGGTAACACTTCCACTTCTGCTCACTACCTGCAAACAGCTTGGTCAGCACTCAGCTGTTCAGCCACAGTGACATCATACTTTCTCCTGTAGAAGGAGCCACACAAACACAATTTTCATGCAAGCATGTACACACAGATTGTCAAGCCAGGAGGATACAGTGTATTATTATATACATTCCTTCTGCTGTATAAGCGTCTACCATGCAAGAAATTGTGTGTGGGTGAGACCGTAAAAACGCAAATGGGTGTAGTCCGACTGGTTTACGAAGAGTTTTGCTGGTTTCACTTTGGTTCTCGCTGAACATCAGTAGTGCGTTATTTATATGGAGGAATATGCCAAGGCAGGAGATATGAGGGTCTGCACTACAGTAGCCGAGCACAACAAGGGTGTGGTGACTCGCACTGAGGAATTTCCTCGGGACAGACAAGAGTTTTAACTGTGTACTTAATACAAAAAAGGACGACACATTTCCGGACGGCATAACCAAAAAAAAGATGTCACTCAGTACTTCTCCCAGAATTTGATATTTTTGGCCTTCCAGGAATTCACATTAAGAGGGAAAACAACCCGAAAGTACAGAGTCAACATTTACTGACCAAACCGGTTCCCAAAGAGAAAGAGGAGACCAACTTTTTTCAGTGAGTAAAGATCGGCCCTGCCCGTCTCCGCCGCCTAACAATTAAATTACATAATGAAGTAGCAGATATTATGAGAAGATACCGGGCCGGGTTTGTGTGTCAGGATACAATCCGTATCTTCAACGGGATACGGCTGGACAGAACACACAGGTGTGTGGGACTTTTGGTTTTAGTTTTATGTCTATTAACCATCGAAGTAGCTCCGCTGCAAAACTTCTATACAAGTAACTGGTTTCAACTCGCCGAGCTGCCGCTCTCTCGGTATCCACTCAAAGGTCATTTAGCTAACTACTTTCGCTTTAAACGTCGAAGTCGCTGGTTTTAATTCAATGAGCTTTTCAGTTAAACAGAAGAAACAAAAGAAAGACGTATTCTCTTACCTCCCACAAGGTTGTGCTTCCCAACACCGACGACCTCCGTATTTCTTCCTCCCGTGAAAGAGCTGTGGTCCGAAAAGCAGCCAAACAGATACTCGGTAGACCCGCCCACAGTGCTGCATTCATGTACCCTCGGAAACCCACCTTTGCCATCTCCCAATTCTTCTGCTCGGAGGCTCAGCACGGCCAGTGGTGGTGGAATTTATAACCTATTAATAATAAATAAACCTAGGCCACGTTTTCCATCATGTGGTCAGTAAGGCCACAAAAAATTAAATTGCATCCCATTTCATATGAAAATGTCTTAAATTTAACTTAATGTAGCTTGCAGAAACTCCATATCTCAAATCTGTTTCTGCTCTTACAAATCTACCTACATACATATGTTTCAATCAGATTTCTCAGTTTC